ACTGACAATATTCAGTCACCCCCCCCCGAGGGTGTCATGGGAAAGCACAAGGCCTTTTAACGTGGGCATTCCCGAGCCATTAGGCCCGGCCAAAAATAGCCCATTTGAACCCGTATAAACGGGTTCAGGGCCGGTTTTACCTCCCCGAAGGAGACTCCGCCCTTCGGCGTAGCCTCCTTCGGGTTCCTCCCGCCCGTAGGAAGAGAGTTTAACCGTGCAGTCGGTTCAGAAAGTACTGAACTGACTGACAATATTCAGTCACCCCCCACGAGGGTGTCATGTGGCACAAAGGCCTTTTTAACGTGGGCATTCCCAAGCCATTAGGCCCGGCCAAAAATAGCCCATTTGAACCCGTATAAACGGGTTCAGGGCCGGTTTGTGAAGGAGACTCCGCCCTTCGGCGTAGCCTCCTTCGGGTTCCTCCGCCCGTAGGAAGAGAGTTTAACCGTGCAGTCGGTTCAGAGAGTGACTCGACTGACTGACAATATTCAGTCACCCCCCACGAGGGTGTCATGTGGCACAAAGGCCTTTTTAACGTGGGCATTCCCAAGCCATTAGGCTCGGCCAAAAAAATTTTGAACCCGTATAAACGGGTTCAGGGCCGGTTTTACCTCCCCGAAGGAGACTCCGCCCTTCGGCGTTGCCTCCTTCGGGTTCCTTCCCGCCCGTAGGAAGAGAGTTTAACCGTGCAGTCGCTCAGAGAGTACTGACTCTGACTGACTGACAATATTCAGTCACCCCCCACGAGGGTGTCATGGGCACAAAGGCCTTTTTAACGTGGGCATTCCCGAGCCATTAGGCTCGGCCAAAAATAGCCCATTTGAACCCGTATAAACGGGTTCTGGGCCGGTTTACCTCTCCCGAAGGAGACTCCGCCCTTCGGCGTAGCCTCCTTCGGGTTCCTCCCGCCCGTAGGAAGAGAGTTTAACCGTGCAGTCGGTTCAGAGAGTACTGACTGACTGACTGACAATATTCAGTCACCCCCCACGAGGGTGTCATGGGCACAAGGCCTTTTAACGTGGGCATTCCCGAGCCATTAGGCTCGGCCAAAAATAGCCCATTTGAACCCGTATAAACGGGTTCGGGCCGTTTTAACCTCCCCGAAGGAGACTCCGCCCTTCGGCGTAGCCTCCTTCCCTCCCCACCCCGTAGGAAGAGAGTTTAACCGTGCAGTCGGTTCAGAAAGTACTGACTCGACTGACTGACAATATTCAGTCACCCCCCCACGAGGGTGTCATGTGGCACAAGGCCTTTTTAACGTGGGCATTCCCGAGCCATTAGGCCCGGCCAAAAAATAGCCCATTTGAACCCGTATAAACGGATTCAGGGCCGGTTTTACCTCCCCGAAGGAGACTCCGCCCTTCGGCGTAGCCTCCTTCGGGTTCCTCCCGCCCGTAGGAAGAGAGTTTAACCGTGCAGTCGGTTCAGAGAGTACTGACTCGACTGACTGACAATATTCAGTCACCCCCCCACGAGGGTGTCATGTGGCACAAGGCCTTTTTAACGTGGGCATTCCCGAGCCATTAGGCCCGGCCAAAAAATAGCCCATTTGAACCCGTATAAACGGGTTCAGGGCCGAGTTTACCTCCCCGAAGGAGACTCCGCCCTTCGGCGTAGCCTCCTTCGGGTTCCTCCTGCCCCAGGGAAGAGAGTTTAACCGAACAGTCGGTCAGAGAGTACTGACTCGACTGACTGACAATATTCAGTCACCCCCCACGAGGGTGTCATGTGGCACAAGGCCTTTTTAACGTGGGCATTCCCAAGCCATTAGGCTCGGCAAAAATTATAAACGGGTCCAGGGCCGATTTACCTCCCGAAGGAGACTCCGCCCTTCGGCGTAGCCTCCTTCGGGTTCCTCTCGCCCGTAGGAAGAGAGTTAAACCGAACAGTCGCTCAGAAAGTACTGACTCGACTGACTGACAATATTCAGTCACCCCCCCACGAGGGTGTCATGTGGCACAAGGCCTTTTTAACGTGGGCATTCCCGAGCCATTAGGCTCGGCCAAAAAATAGCCCATTTGAACCCGTATAAACGGGTTCTGGGCCGTTTACCTCCCCGAAGGAGACTCCGCCCTTCGGCGTAGCCTCCTTCGGGTTCCTCCCCCCGTAGGAAGAGAGTTAAACCGAACAGTCGCTCAGAAAGTACTGACTGACTGACTGACAATATTCAGTCACCCCCCACGAGGGTGTCATGTGGCACAAGGCCTTTTTTGTGGGCAATTCCCGTTTATTAGGCTCGGCCAAAAATAGCCCATTTGAACCCGTATGAACGGGTTCTGGGCCGGTTTTACCTCCCCGAAGGAGACTCCGCCCTTCGGCGTAGCCTCCTTCGGGTTCCTCCCGCCCGTAGGAAGAGAGTTCAACCGAACAGTCGCTCAGAAAGTACTGACTCGACTGACTGACGATATTCAGTCACCCCCCCACGAGGGTGTCATGTGGCACAAGGCCTTTTTACGTGGGCATTCCCGAGCCATTAGGCTCGGCCAAAATAGCCCATTTGAACCCGTATAAACGGGTTCTGGGCCGGTTTTACCTCCCCGAAGGAGACTCCGCCCTTCGGCGTAGCCTCCTTCGGGTTCCTCCTCGCCCGTAGGGAAGAGAGTTAAACCAAACAGTCGCTCAGAAAGTACTGACTCGACTGACTGACAATATTCAGTCACCCCCACGAGGGTGTCATGTGGCACAAGGCCTTTTAACGTGGGCTTTCCCGAGCCATTAGGCTCGGCCAAAAATAGCCCATTTGAACCCGTATAAACGGGTTCTGGGCCGGTTTACCTCCCGAAGGAGACTCCGCCCTTCGGCGTAGCCTCCTTCGGGTTCCTCCCGCCCGTAGGAAGAGTTTAACCGAACAGTCGCTCAGAAAGTACTGACTCGACTGACTGACAATATTCAGTCACCCCCCCACGGGGTGTCATGTGGCACAAGGCCTTTTTAACGTGGGCATTCCCGAGCCATTAGGCTCGGCCAAAAATAGCCCATTTGAACCCGTATAAACGGGTTCTGGGCCGATTTTACCTCCCGAAGGAGACTCCGCCCTTCGGCGTAGCCTCCTTCGGGTTCCTCTCGCCCGTAGGAAGAGAGTTGAACCGAACAGTCGCTTCAGAAAGTACTGACTCGACTGACTGACAATATTCAGTCACCCCCACGAGGGTGTCATGTGGCACAAGGCCTTTTTAACGTGGGCATTCCCGAGCCATTAGGCTCGGCAAAAAATAGCCCATTTGAACCCGTATAAACGGGTTCGGGCCAGTTTTACCTCCCCGAAGGAGACTCCGCCCTTCGGCGTAGCCTCCTTCGGGTTCCTCTCGCCCGTAGGAAGAGAGTTGAACCGAACAGTCGCTCAGAAAGTACTGACTCGACTGACTGACAATATTCAGTCACCCCCACGAGGGTGTCATGTGGCACAAGGCCTTTTTAACGGGGCATTCCCCGAGCCATTAGGCTCGGCAAAAATAGGCCATTTGAACCCGTATAAACGGGTTCTGGGCCGTTTATTTTCCCCGAAGGAGACTCCGCCCTTCGGCGTAGCCTCCTTCGGGTTCCTCCCGCCCGTAGGAAGAGAGTTTAACCGAACAGTCGCTCAGAAAGTACTGACTCGACTGACTGACAATATTCAGTCACCCCCACGAGGGTGTCGTGGCACAAGGCCTTTTTAACGTGGGGTATTCCTGAGCCATTAGGCTCGGCCAAAAATTTTTGAACCCGTATAAACGGGTTCTGGGCCGAGTTTATTTCCCGAAGGAGACTCCGCCCTTCGGCGTAGCCTCCTTCGGGTTCCTCCCGCCCGTAGGAAGAGAGTTAAACCGAACAGTCGCTTCAGAAAGTACTGACTCGACTGACTGACGATATTCAGTCACCCCCACGAGGGTGTCATGTGGCACAAGGCCTTTTTAACGTGGGAATTCCCGAGCCATTAGGCTCGGCCAAAAATAGCCCATTTGAACCCGTATAAACGGGTTCTGGGCCGATTTAAACTTCCCCGAAGGAGACTCCGCCCTTCGGCGTAGCCTCCTTCGGGTTCCTCGCCCGTAGGAAGAGAGTTTAACCGAAACAGTCGCATTCAGAGTACTGACTCGACTGACTGACAATATTCAGTCACCCCCCACGAGGGTGTGCTGCGTGGCACAAGGCCTTTTAACGTGGGCATTCCTATTAGGCTCCGGCTGTAAAATAGCCCATTTGAACCCGTATAAACGGGTTCTGGGCCCTTTTACCTCCCGAAGGAGACTCGCCCTTCGGCGTAGCCTCCCTTCGGGTTCCTCCTGCCCGTAGGAAGAGAGTTTAACCGAAACAGTCGCTCAGAGAGTACTGACTCGACTGACTGACTCCTTGCCTACTCCTGAGGCGCAGTATTTATTAAGTATGGAATAGTCCATTATTATTATTATTATGGGTAAGATCCCATAACACATATACAAATAGAAAAAGAATCTAAATCGGGTATTAAAAGAGGGGGTCTAAATCAGATATGAAAAGTCTGTTTTAAATATGATGATAGAAACAGTGGATACGATGTCATATATTAAAACGAGGGCATCAAAGCTCAGATGTATATGCGAAATATGTGTTGTTTATATAAAGGTCTAATATGCTTGAGAGAAAAATTTCTGACTGGTAAAATCTAAAAATTATTATTTATTTCATATATCCGCCAGAATCACTCTACCATTAAATAAAGGACTTTATTTTTAACGAATTAGATTAAATTTAATCTGGCACCTTTTGTACACACACCCACTCACGTACAAATACACACAGACAAACACACACTCAAACTCACACAGACAAACACACACAGAACTCAGGAAAATCTACAGTATAAACCACAAGTTTGCTCTGTGCGTGTTGTAAAAACACAATTATGCCTGAGCAGAATCTGCAGCAGGGATTGGCATGTCGCGCTATGAAACGGGTCTTTCGCAAATGAGGAGTCGGCTATTATTTGAGATATATAGGAATTATACATAGAAAAATATTAGAATATGGAAACTATAAGTTTCCTAAGGACGTGGCAAATGTTTCTGATAGATAGATAGACAGACAGACAGACAGATAGATAGATAGATAGAAATGGCATAACCATAGATAGATAAATATATACATAGAGAGATAGAGAGAGAGACAGACAGACAGAAATCGCATAACCATAGATAGATAGATAGATTGATTGATAGATAGATAGATAGATAGATAGATAGATCGCCAGTTACTGTGGCAAGCAGACATCCTCATGGAATTATCTGGTGTAATTTATCGTTCTATTTCGAGAAAATAACATAATTATTTTTTTTTTAAATTACAAAAGTTAACTGTACCGTAAGACAATATCACTTCTTTCTTCCTACAACTTCGGTATAATTACCCAGAGTCCTTTTCCAATTAACGATCGAAACCCGTCGATTGAAATTAATTCCTTATTAAAAGTACCGCATAGAATCAAAAGTAACGCTTTCTCTATTTTAGCCATCACAATAGATCTATTTATAACTAGGAAAGTGTATTGAATATAGTCGCTTACTTTTAATATTCGCTTGCATGTTGCGGCGAAGCGAACGAAACGTTGTATATGGAAACTCAGAAGCCATTGTAAAATACGTCTACATAAATAGATAAACAGATAAAAAGACATAGATATGTGTATGCGCGTATGTGTGTGCGTGTATAAAGGAAATAAGACAATACAATAACTGTGGGTTTAGCCGACTTTTTCAAGGACCAAAAAATGAAATAAATTTATTGAAACAAAGTATGTATAAACAACAAACAAAATGTCGTTAGCAACTAAAAACATTTAGGTAGGTATAATATAGTAAGAGACAACCAGTCTGAACATTTTCCCGCTTTTAGGCCTTGTGACAAAATTCTATTTTATTTAGAATAACTCTCAACCACAAACAAAATGTCTTTAGCAACAAGAAGAATTTAGAAACGCTATTGTATATTCATATGGCCATCTTTATGTTTGAAGAGAATATTTTCACATGTAGAAATATTGTTTGTATTGTTGTGTTGAGGGATTCAAACGTTTTCTTTTGATTTCTTAATATATTTGCTGTGTACATTGATTTGGGAAAATCATGATTCTGATTCTATTAGGAAAGGTGAGATTGGAAAAAAGTCCACATTGGACGATACGCGTCGGCTAAAACTACAGCTTTTCTATTGGTTTTTTCTTCCTTTATACATATTTTTTTCTGAAGTGACGAAACTCTGGAGTCGGAATGATTTTACTCACATCAATCTTATTTATGTTCTATCTTTGATATCGAGGACTACTTGCTCGAATGTCTTTTCTCTCAATATCCCATTGACTGCCTGCATTTTTGACCTTATACTATCTTTGACATCGCTATTATATACATATACAGGATGTCCATAAAGTTCGTGTGCACTTTAATTTATAACTTTATTTGTATTTGCGATAGAAATAATCTGTAAGAATGTTATAAAGTTTAATGGACCTAGTTTTAAGTATAGCTAAAATAACTAATGTGATTTCAGGCATTACTGTAAATCAGTTGGCAAATGTTTTCCGTGAACTGCAAAATCGTATTACCCTTTGTTTTGCTAATGATGGAGGACACGTGGAAATTTGAATAAAATTTCAATAAAAACTTAAAGAATATAGATTTACTAAAGTACACACGAACTTTATGGACACGCTGTATGTGTGTGTGTGTGTGTGTTTGTCTCTGTGTATGTGTGTGTTTAAGCAAACATTGAAGACAAAACCCAAAGTCGACAGTCTGTTTCGTGCTAAACGCAATCGTCAAGCAAAAAAAATGAGATGAGTGAATGCCATTGTCTTCGTATTGTTACCCGTGGGTAGGCATGTATAACAAAAATGAAGCAGTAGCCATGGTCAATGTTATAACTTACAAAGTCGCCTAATCTTAAAAGAAAGACGAACGTTAGACAATGAAACGCGATGTTTATGATTTGAACGACGCAGAAGAACGTAGACCTATGTTTCAAAGACTTACACATAAGCATTTGATAAGGCACGGTACAATGATCTATTTAAACTACTTCGCCCTTGCATGGAGTATTGCTGCCTTATATGGTCTGGAGCCCCTTCTAATTGTCTCAAGGTCCTTGATAAAATTCAAAGACGGATATGCAATGATATTGGCTGTGATCTGGCATCTCGTCTGCAGTCGCTCTCTCACAGATGTGTCGTCGACTCCCTCTGTCTTTTTTACAAATACTTTCACGGTAACTGCTCCGATGAGCGGCTTTCGCTGGTTCCCAGACTCCACGAATTTAAGCGTCCAACTAGGCTGGCATCTCGCTCACACTCTTTCACTGTTGAAAATGTTAAATGTAGCCGTCTCTTCTACTCCAATAGCTTCATGCCTCGCACTTCTCGCCTGTGGAATTTCCTCCCCATTTCTTGTTTTCCTGATAGCTATAATCTCCAACTATTCAAATGTAATGTCAATCGACGTCTCCAGATGCCCTGATCTATCCCCTATCCTTCTCTTCATCCTTTCCTCTATCACTTCTATTTGCTCTCGTTCCAACTCTCTGTAACCCCTTATATTAACCCGATTCCCTTTCGACAGACGGACGACCGCTAGTGTTTATCAGGTTTAAGGGGGAAAAAATGAAGAAAAAAACAAAGTAAAACGAACTGTTTTCATACTTTCGTTTCGGGAAGATTTTCACCCGATTCTTATGACCGACTAAGCTGGGATCGGCTGACTTTTCATAAGTTTAACTTCCGTCAGGCTAGTTAAAAAATATTCGCTTCAAAGTGAAAAGCCAACTGTCAATATCACTTTGATTATGAAATTCAATTTTAAAATTCATGTATGAATGCAAAATAGTGTAAAGGGCATCAGTAGAGAAAAGGCAAACAGCAGAAGGATTTCTAGTTTGGGCTGCTTCTGTCAACTGGAAAAGGCATGAATCCAATTCTCCCTACTCGAAATGTCTTCCAAAAGATTTTCTCGCTTCAAGAGAAGATGGCAGTATGAGAAGCGAATGTAAAAAAAGAACCACTGACAGAAAATCTATTCCCATATATATATATATATATATATATATATATATATATATATGTGTGTGTGTGTGTGTGTGTGAGAGAGAGAGAGAAAGAGAATATATATATATATATATATATATATATATATATATATATATATATGAATATTGAAGTCAAATGTCAGAGGTGACAGAATGTTTCATGCTAAACGCAATCATTAGGGGTGACTATTGCTTTGAGCATGAAACAGTCTGTCGCCTCTGACTTTGAGTTCAATGTTCACTTTTATATTTATATGCGCTCTATCTCTGATATTGAGCAAAAAAAGATAGCATACCTTAAAAGTATATTTCTTCATATATATATATATATATATATATATATATATATATATGTGTGTGTGTGTGTGTGTGTGTGTGTGTGTGTGTGTAAAATAAAAAATAACAAGAACACCGGATTACATATCTTACTTTTCTTTTACATATATATATATATATATATATATATATATATATATATATATATATATATATATTACTTTTCTTTTTATATATATATATATATATATATATATATATATGTGTGTGTGTGTGTGTGTGTGTGTGTGTGTAAAAAGAAAATGAAGATATATAATCTTGTGTTCTTGTTATTTTTTATTTTTATTTTTACAAAAACAGTGCTAATTGTAAGTTTTAGTGCATAAATATTATAAATTAACTTATTTAAAATAGGGGTTTTCGCTACATAGTAATAGGTATGTTTCAAAAATAGAAGCTAAAAACTTTAAATTTATTTATATAATTAAATTAAAAGCATTAGTTCCGTTTCATATTCCAATATTCGCTTGAAGATGAAACGGAACTAATGCTTTCAATTTTATTATATAATTAAATTTAAAGTTTTTGAAATCTGGTTATCACTGTATAGCGAAAACCATATTTTAAATCAGTTAATTTATAATATATATATATATATATATATTACTTTTCTTTACATATATATATATATATATCTATATATATTACTTTTCTCTTTACATATATATATATATTACTTTTCTTTACACACATATATATATATATATTACTTTTCTTTTATATATATATACATATATATATATTACTTTTCTTTATATATATATATATATTACTTTTATATATATATATATATATATATATATATTATTTTCTTTTATATATATATATATATTACTTTTTTTTTACATATATATATATATATTACTTTTCTTTACATATATATATATATATATTACTTTTCTTTACATATATATATATATATATATATATATATTACTTTTCTTTACATATATATATATATTACTTTTCTTTTACATATATATATATATATATTACTTTTCTATATATATATATATATATATATATATATATTACTTTTCTTTACATATATATATATTACTTTTCTTTACATATATATATATATATATATATATATATATATATATATATATATATATATATATATATATTTATGAAGATTTAATGGATTTATTTTTTAATCCAATATATTTATTACTTCAAAGCTGTCTATAGAGGATACTCGTACTTGAGATAGACGCTACATTTTTTAAAACAGTGTGTCTGCTTCAATATTTGAGAAATCCTAATGCGATCACATTTTCTTTATTAGGATTTCTCTAATGCGCAAGGCGATACATGTAATACACATAGTTTAAAATAAAAATCACTCGTCTATTTAAAATACGAGTATCCACTGTAATAAAATTAGAAGTAATCACGAAAGACATAAGGGAATTTAATTACAACAGAAAGCAATATATTGAGCTGAACATGGATAGAAAATGTTTTTTACGACCATATTTTTACAAAATTTCTTGACAGATCAGTTATTATCACAGTGTTTAATAAGAAAAGTCATAAAAACATAAAGAAAAAAAAATAAATTTAAATTTAAAATTCCAGCATCACTTTTTTCAACATGGGCAGAAAATAATCATTTTAATCAATGTAAATATCCTATTTTATCTGATGAAGTCCTAAAGGACGAAACACGTTACACAAAAATTTTTCCACATTGTCATAGATTATCCATATCTATCTCTCTCTCTCTCTCTCTCTCTCTCTCTCTCTATCTATCTATCTATCTATCTATATATATATATATATATATATATATATATATATATATTCTTTTATGTGCCAAGGTTCTTCAGGACGTAGGCG